CCAGCCTCCACAGGTAAAGAAAGGCAAGCAGCCATGCGGAAAAGCCACGAAGGTGCTTCGGCCCGGGCCCCACGGAGGCCTCTGGTCACTGGTCACCAGACACGAGTGAGGAGACCTTCTGCCTCCCGACTTCAAGGCATCCCACACGGTGACACAGTGGAGTACACACAGTTGCCCCAATAAGCCCTCCCAAAAAGCAGACACCTGAGCAGCATACACGCTGCCCGTCACGGTTTTAAATCACTATGCTTTGGGGTAATGTGTTATGAAGCAGTAACACGTGTATGTGCACTCCTGTTCATCTGAATCAAATATACATCTTCATGTCCAAAACCTAGCCTCCTCAGCCAATCAGACGTCACAGGAATCCACTGCAGTTCCCTTCAGCAAACGTTTATGAAGAATTCTCTCTTATCTCGAATTATACTCCTGGTTTTCTATCACGGAAGTGGGTGCCTCAACACCCCTGAAATAACAATGCATAATAAGCCAACAGTTTCCAGGTCTTTTTAAGTGATGTGCAGACTAGATGTGTTCAAATGTATGTATCATTTAAAGAGCCCCCTTTACATTCTATACTTTTCATGGCATACCCACATTTATAAAAGCTTGAATATAACAGTGATTTAGAAAAGCTTAGATGTAATCTATTTTTGTTTAAAGGGGGTGAGTGCTTCTCAGTAGTTAATCTCTGAGTGATGGAACTGCAGGGGATTTTAAATTTCTTTTTTGTATTTTCAAAACTGTCTATAATATTTTGATAATTAAGAAAGACAACTTTTTTGAGTTATTTAAGGTTAACTTCTACACAATCATTTCTGTTGCAAAACAAAGCTGTATAACTCTTCCTATATACAACTATATGAGGGCTTCCACCAAGTTGTAGCAATACAATATAAACTCAAATAATGGCATTTATGTATCAAGCCACCATAAACATACCTAATTCTGCAGCAGATAAGGAGACAAAAAAGAAAAGAAAAACAGAATGACAGTTCAATCCCCCAAAATCAGCTGAGGCCTCAAAGTCAATTTTTTTTTAACTTAAAATCCAGCATCCTGAGTCCCCTACTCTCTCTGTTAGTATTTTCCCGAATGACCCTTCATGCAACCTTTCCAATCATCCGACATAACGAGCACAAATATAACTCTTTTTTAAGACACAAATCCAGCACAGGCCCGGCTCAGAGCAGGGACTTAACATGTTTGAGGACAGTAAGAAAAAAAGCCAACAGGGGAGAAAAAGGAACCCTCGTGCACTGCTGGTGGGAATGCAGACTGGTGCAGCCACTGTGGAAAAAAGTATGGAGTTTCCTCAAAAAGTTAAAATGGAACTCCCATTGACCCAGTGATCCCACTTCTAGGAATATATCCCAAGAAATCAGAAACACCCATCAGCAAGGATATATGCACCCCTATGTTC